ACACATCTTAAATTTAAGATTCTATGGCTCTGACAAATACATACATCAATATAACCAATACCCCAATCAAGATGCAAATACTTCCATTTCCCCAGAAAGTCCCGTCAGGCTCCTATAACTAAGTCCATCCCCTGTAGGCATCTACTTTTCTGATTTCTGTCTCCATGCATAAAGTTTTCCAGTCAAAGGAATCATATGATGGGTTTGTATGATTTTGCTTTTTGTTGCTCCAGGTAATATTTGAGATTTCTTTATACTGTTGCATGTATTGATAGTATATTCTTTTCTCTCTCTCTCTCTCTCTCTCTCTGTAGTAATATTCCTTTTCATTCCTGGTATCAGTAACTTTTGCTCTCTCTACTTTTCTTTTTGTCATAAACAGTTGCTGACTACTTATTATTAAACATAAATGGTTTTTATCAATTTTAATAGTATAGTTTTTTACAGTGAACTATACATTCTTTCTATTGTATATTTGCATTCTAATTTGTTGATTTCTTTTTTTTTTACAGTTTTTACTTCTCTAATTAAAATTTTCCATCTGTCATCTAATGTTTTGAACATATTATTCATAGTTATTTTGGAGTCTAGGTCTAATAACTCCAATATCTATACTTCTTTCATTCAGATCTTTCTTTGAATTTTTTTTATTACCTAGTATATTCCATTGTATGGGTACACCATAATTTATCTGTTCAGCTATATGTGTATTTGGGTTGCCTATAGTTCTTCGCTATTGTGAATAAAACTGCTATGAATATTATTGTAAAAGTCTTTTTCTGGACATAAGCTTTCATTTCTCTTGGGCAGATACCCAGGAGTAGAATTACTGGATAGTAGGGTAAATGTACGTTTAACATTGTAAGAAATTGCATAACAGTTCTCCAAAGTGGTTTTATGATTTTATACTCCCATTAACAATGTACAAATGTTCTGGTTGCTTCACATGCTCATCAAATTTGGTGTCATCAGTGTTTTTGATTTTGTTATTCTAGTGGGTTTGAAATGACATTTCACTCTGGTATTAATTTATATTTCCTTAATGACTAATGATACGGAAAGTTTTTTCATGTGCTTATTGGTTATTTGTGTATCTTCTTTTGTGAAGTATCAACTCAAGTGTTTTGCCCACCCAGAATATTGGGCTGTTTGTCTTTTAATTATTAGTTTATTGGAGATTTTCATATACTCATGACACAAATTCTCTGTATGACACAAATACATACAGATACATGTATTGCAAATATCTTTTCACAGGCTGAGTCACTTTTTTCATTTTATTAATGGTGCCTTTTGATGAATGAAAGTTTTTAACTTTGATGAAATACGATTTATCATTTTTTTTCTTTTATGGTTCACGTCTCCTGTTTCCTCTTTAAGAATCCTCTGCTTCCCTCAAAGTCATGAAGATATTCTTGTATGTTTTCTTGTATGTGAAAGAGGTTTCACAGTTTTAGCTTTTACATTAGGTCTATAATCCATCTTGAATTAAGTTTGTGTGTGTGATATGAGGGGAGGGTTAGGATTCATTTTTTCCCCATAAGTTTATCAAAATGTACTAGCACCAGTTGTTGAAAAGACCTTCTTTTCTCTCATTGAATTACCTTGGTATCTTTGTCAAATATCAATTTACAATATATTTATGGATCTATTTCCAGACTCTTTATTTTGTTCCATTGATCTATTTACTTATAATTATACTATACCACAATGTCTTAATTACTATAGTTTTATAGTGGGCCTTGAAATCAGATAGTATGACTACTCCAGCTTTGTTCTTTTTTTCCAAGTTTGTCTGGGCTATTCTCAGTCCTTTGCACTTCCATGTAGATTTTTAAATAAACTTGTCATTCTCTATAAAAAAGCCTGTTGGGATTTTGATTGGGCACAAGTGATATATCTTAATAATAATGGATCCTACAACCCATGATGTATTTCTCTATCCATGGCATATGTCACCATTTATTTATATCTTCCTTTATTTCTCTCATCAATGTTATTTAGTTTTGGGTATAAAACTTTTGTTAAATTTTTCTTAAATATTTTATATTTTTGATGTTATTTGCTAGAAGATTTATAAGATAGATTCTGTTACTACAGCGAGAGGCACCTAAAACCTAAAGCTCATTTTTTAAAAATATCTTTAAGTTTCAAGTTAGATACTAAGGGGCTGGGCCACATTGAAGGTTAATGTAAAAGAAAATACGAAGATGATGCCAAAGAGATGTAAGACAGCATGTGTTCAGGTGTTAGTTCACTGTAGAGACAAGAGGGGACAGTAACTGGAAGAGGACCCAGCAAAGGTTATGGGGTACTGGTAACATTATGTCTCTTGATCTGGGTAACTAGGTGGTTCAATTTGAGAACATTCAACAAAGAATATTTTTTATCTTTTCCATTTTATGTACCTATTTTATAATCAAATTGAAAAGATGAACTAAAATAATTTTTAAGAAACTCAAAGGAACTAAATCATGCATTTTGTGCCAGTCTCAGACTCAGGAGAGGGCAATCCATGGGACTGAAGGGTGTGATCAGGCTTTTATCCCCTTGACAGTATGTATGCTGAATCAAACTGCAGTTCCTTGCAGAGGACGATAATATTTTACACAGCATTGAAACACAGCCAAGGAAATGGTGGTGCAAAGATTCTGGGGCTGGGATGCCTAAGAAGGAAAAAGGAATGTGGGGAAATCTCAAGGAAAAGGAAAGTGGATGAGGTGGAGGGAGATAGAAAGATAAGGAGAGAAAGTGAGAGGACAATTGATATGAAGCCTTGTTCCCTGCCAGAATCAAATGAAAAAATACTGAGTATCTATACTTTCTTCACTTTAACCCCAGAAGTAAAATGGCATGAAGTGACTTTAAGATCTTATACACTAAGATCAATGTGATACAACTGTAAAGCATTTGTATTAGCATGCACAGGCATACTCTGAGGCACTTAGTCTTAGCCTGAATCTTATTGGAATCAGAGTTAATTGCTACCTTCTCTATGGGGTTCCATATCATATTGTCCAATCCTCAGGTATTAGCTCATCATACTCATCTTATTGTATGGACTTCACCTGACTGTCTCCCTCACTTTACTGTTACTGTGCAGAGGGAAAGACATTGTTTTATTCATCTCCAAATTGCCAAGGCATAGAATATGCTTGAACCTTTGAGTGATTGCTCTACAAATATGTGTTGCATCAAATGAATGGATTTTAGGATGATTATGCACACAGAATTTGCAATGATTTGGTCACATAAAATTTTCTCCTATAAAAATATAAATGCTTCAGTTTACAAATCTTTCAGTAGTTTAACACTAATTTATTGTTTCACGTGATCATTAAAATAAATTTCTTGGGGCTCCTGGGTAGTTAAGCTGGTTAAGCATCCAACTCTTGATTTTGGCTCAGGTCATGGTCTCACTGTTCATGAGTTCGAGCCCTGCAGTGGGATCTCTGCTGATGGTGCAGAGCCTGCATGGGATTCTGTCTCCCTCTCTCTCTCCCTCTCCCCTGCTTGCTTCCTATTGCTCTCAAAATCAATAAATAAGCATTTAAAAAATCAAATCCTTAATGTGAACTTACTGGTTCATCTAAGCATGATAACAGCCCTGCATGGCAGAGAAGGGCAGTCATCATTAAACCACCTGTGGAGATGACACTAAAGTGAGGGACACAATCAAGTGAAGTCAACAGAGTACAATGGGGTACCTGGGTGGCTCAGTCGGTTGAGCATTCAACTCTTGACTTTGGCTCAAGCCGCGATTCTGGAGTTGTGGAATTGAGCCCCAGCTTGAGGAATCATACCCTGCATTGGACTTCGTGCTGAGCATGGAGGCTACCTAAGATCCTCTCTCTCCCTATTTCTCTACCCCTCCACTGCTCGTGTATACACACAGTTTCTCTCTTTCACTCTTAAAAAAAAACAAAAACAAAAAAAAAGGCTAAGTTTATAACATTTAAAAACAACGTTTTGGAGGCGTATAGCTATTATAGGTAGTAAGTATAAAGCCAGATCTAGAATCTAGACTTTGGATTTTTCATTCAGGTAATTTCCTCTAAACAACAATATGACATTTAGAAATAAAATGTTGCTCTATAAAGTATCCCAGAGAGTTTTAACTCCCAGGCTGTTTCCCCCCAGCTATAATTTGGCTTCTTGACCACTTTCTTTAGCCACCCCATTCTGTTACTTCTATTCCCTACCTTCACCTCCCCTGTCCCCATTTTTAGTCCCTCAGATCACAGGGAATAAAGTCTATATCATATTGACATAGTATTATATCTACTTGTAGATTCATTTTGGCATTCCTTATTCACTATGGATGCATGATTCTTGAATTATCTCCTTTGGGCCAGCTGAAACTGGTTCTTACTGCAATGATTCCCTCATTAACCCATGGGTCCACTACAATCTTTGATGTGTGTTCGTTATATATTTGTAAAAGAATCATGATTTTACTTTTTCTGAAAACTATTCTTTAAAAATGGACATTTTCTCAATTCGGAATAAAAGCTTCTTCAGGAAATGATGCCATTTTTGCTGGTCTCCAACTTACAGTCTAAGAAAATATTGTGCTCTCTCTGCAAAGACTGCTTCAAGACTTAACTGACAAGTTTAAGAACCTTTCTTTCTGTGCACTAGTGGAGGAGACAAACAATATCAACATGAAGGACAAGGTACACACAGCGAATAGAGCTGAAAAACTTCCACTTTTCATTTCTGCCCAGTAGAATCAGAGTATAAGAGAGTTATCTCAATCCCTAGATATAACAATAGATACGAAGTCTCTCCAGCCCTTTCTCTCTTCCCCCACCAACTTCTCCACCAAGGGGCAAGATTTGGAAAGTCTTCCTATCAATTAGCAATTCTGGAGTCTCCGATATTTGAACCGCAGCAGGTGAGAAGAAAAAGCTGGGAAGGGAACCAAATTTTCACACTGCCTCAACACACAAAGATAAAAATATTATTCTGGGAGGGTCTAAGTCCGGGCAGCCGAAGAGTGTGGTAGGTTAGCAAGATGAACAAAGATGCGCAGATGAGAGCAGTGATTAACCAAAAGTTGATAGAAACTGGAGAAAGAGAACGCCTCAAAGAGTTGCTGAGAGCTAAATTAATTGAATGTGGCTGGAAGGACCAGTTGAAGGCACACTGTAAAGAGGTAATTAAAGAAAAAGGACTAGAACACGTTACTGTTGGTGACTTGGTGGCTGAAATCACACCAAAAGGCAGAGCCCTGGTACCTGACAGTGTAAAGAAGGAGCTCCTACAAAGAATAAGAACATTCCTTGCTCAGCATGCCAGCCTTTAAGATTGAATTAGATTGTGTCGTTTTGTGGTTTTATTTCTGAAAGTAAAACTTGCCATAAATTAGGAATCGATTTCCCAAAATAAAATCCTTTTTTGTATGATGGTAATGATGTATACATTGTATTGATTTTTTTCCCTAAATGTGTTATTTTAATAAATATCTCATGAATGAGAAAAAAAAATATTGTTCTGAACCCTACAGTTCAGTCATTGTCATTATTATCTTTTTTTTAATGTTTATTTATTTATTTATTTATTTTTGAGAGAGAGCGAGAGCAGAGAAGGGGCAAAGAGAGATGGAGAGAGGATCCCAAAAGCAGGCTCCACGCTGTCATCACAGAGCCCAGTGTTGGGATCAAACCCACACACAGTGTGAGATCATGACCTGAACCAAAATCAAGAGTCAGAGGATTAATCTGAGCCACCCAGGTGCCCCTGTTATCATTATCTTTATCTTAATTCATAATCACTCACTGAACTTGTTACAAATCTTCAGCTTTCAGATTGCTGTGTAGAACGACGGGCTTTGGATCAAGGGATCTGACCCTCTTCTTCCAGCTGTGTCTCTGGCTTATAATGTAATCTTTGGAGCTTTGATATGTCATTTGTAAAAATGAGGTCATACCTGTTGACCGAATTAAATAAATAAATAAATCAAATAAGAGATACGCAAGCTTTGTGCAAACTAATAGCTCTATAAGTTAGTTTCAGTCGCTTGACCTTTCTCTGTCTCTTTATCCCTCATGGGAACAATAATGGCACCTACCTCATAAAATTCTTCTCAATTCTAAATAAGTAAATACATGTAAGAACATTTCCTGATATGGTGCTTAATGTTAGCTGTTGATATTAATGTAAGCTCCACAAGAGGGAGTGTCGGATTTTAAACATCGTTTCATCTTCCACAGAGCATGGCACCGTGCATCCACCAGGCTACATCTTTTCAAAATGATTTGCTAACCGCAGAATCTTCCAACCCCAGGATACACCGCCGACGGGCGTTCGCGTGTAGGACTGAGATAGGCCGGAACCCAAAGTTGAGGATGTGGAGGAGCCGGAGCTTCTTTGCGTTTGGACGCTGGCCCCGGAAGTGGCGAGGGCGGGGTCAACGTTGCTGAGTGAATTCCTCCGACCTGGGAAGATGCTGCTGGACTTGTCGGAGGAGCATAAGGAGCACCTGGCCTTTCTGCCGCAAGTGGACAGCACGGGTCAGGGGGCGCGGCCGCGGAGGGTGGGTTCGGTGGTCTGGGGGAGGGGATCAAGGGGTGTGCCCGGCGCTTATGGTCTCCTGGCTTCCCTTGTAGTGGTCGCCGAATTTGGGCGGATTGCGGTGGAATTCCTGCGGCGAGGCTCAAACCCCAAGATCTACGAAGGCGCCGCCAGTAAGGCTGGGAGAGGCACTTCGCGGGGAAATGCAGGCCATTCTTTGGCACCTTGGAGAGGAAGTGGAGAGGAAGGGGTTTTTGTAGCTCCAAGAGTCTTATTCTCATTGTGGTAGAATAAAAGCAGAAGGTCTTCTCAGGGCGCAAATCCTTCCCATCCCTTCGTAGCTTTGAGATTTTTTAAAGCTTCTGTTAACTCGGTGTTGTCATGCGTAAAATGGACATAATATTATCTGCCAGAGATACTCTGATGCTTAAATGCACCAAAATGTGTGGAAGAGATGGGTGAGCAATTCATATCATGCAAGTATTTGGTTATTATTAGTTTTTCAGATATCCGCTTTTGCTGCAGTATTGTTTTTTCCCTGCTGGACAAGGGTGGTTTCTGTGATTGTCAGCCTTGAGTTCCTCTTATACCAGACTTGAAGTAGCTGGGCATTCAAGAGAGGGACTGTACGCCTGATACTAGTCTCCACGGGTCTGCATTTTCAAAAGAAGTTTGCACCAGCGGCAAATACCCAAAACATTTGTCCGGCAGTGGAGAATGAACAGGAGGCTATTACTAACTCTTTCTTTTTCACTGTAGTGTTTGAAAATATGGAATAATGGGTAACATTTATTCCTAAGTAAGACTTTGAATAAAAGAATAAGTATCACACAAGTATTTATTTGCTCTTTTTTCTTTTCCCCAGGAAAACTCAATGTGAGCAGTGACACTGTCCAGCATGGTGTGGAAGGATTAACATACCTCCTCACTGAAAGCTCAAAGCTTATGGTAAGGGCTTCTGTGGAGTGGTTTGTATTTCTTCGACCTTAAAAAGGTCCAGTATGGGGCGCCTGGGTGGCTTAGTCGGTTAAGCGTCCGACTTTCGCTTAGGTCATGATCTCGCGGTTCGTGGGTTGGAGCCCCGCGTCGGGCTCTGTGCTGTCAGCTCAGAGCCTGGAGCCTGTTTCAGAGTCTGTCACTCCCTCTCTCTCTGACCCTCCCCTGCTCACGCTGTCTCTCTCTCTCTCTCTCTCCTAGGAATAAATAAAACATTAAAAAAATTAAAAAAAAAAAAAAGGTCCAGTATACTGGACATCATAGCCCTGGTGGGCACCTGCTTATTTCAGTCATGTTGTTAACGGTTTATAGTTGGTTTGGTGAAGCCATGCCTAAACAATATGACTGTAATGTGATCTGGTGGTGTGAATGCTTCTTGCTAGTATAAACTAGAATTCCCTCTAATTCTTCATGTTATTGAGCCATATACAATAGTATGTATCCTAGGAGGAAGGAGAAATTTAGCAGTATCTGGCTTAATGGAGAATAGGAGGGAAACTAGGCATTTTAATACTTCTTTTCATGCTTTAGTACAGGTATTTTTATGTATCAGAAACTCAGACTTTAAAACAGTGGTTAAGAGTTACCTTTAAAAATAAAGGACGTTGTTTTTTTTTCCAGGCAGAAAAGAATTAGGAGATATCATAATCTTTTATGTGTATCAAATATTTTAGCATTTACTAGACAAATATAAATTTGATGGTCTCTTAAACTTCATTCACTTTCAGATTTCTGAACTGGATTTCCAAGACTCTGTTTTTGTTCTGGGATTCTCTGAAGAATTGAACAAATTATTGCTTCAGCTTTATCTAGACAACAGAAAAGAGATCAGAACTATTCTGAGTGAATTGGCACCAGACCTTCCCAGTTACCACAGCCTTGAATGGCGACTAGATGTACAGGTATGGTTTTTTTTCCCCCCACCTGACAGATTAAGATTAATTTTAGTTCTATATCCTCAGGTTTATTGTATTTTTTACCACCTTAACCAAACTTTGGTTTGAAACTTTATTTTTTTTAATACTTATTTTGAGACCATTTCAACAAATAGTTCATTTTCTGATATGCTTAATGTGTTTACATCAGTTTCATTTGCAAAGTTTGTAAGGAATAGGTTATTTTGGAAAGGAGATGGTCATGCAGATTTTTAAAGTGGTATTTGATTTTTAAAAACTTTGTCTAAGCAAAACACACACGTATTAAAGTGCTAGGTCATTGTATAGCTTCGTGAATTATCACATGGTGAAAACACCCATAAAACCAACACTTGCCCATGACAAACACCCCAGAAGCATCCTCTTTGCTTCTTACCAGTTCTCCTTCCTTCCTTTCCAAAGGTGACCAGCATCCTGACTTCAAATACATAGATTACTTCTACCTGTTCTTTAACTTTCTATATATGGAATGACTCAGTAAATATTCTTTTGTGCCTGGCTTATTTTACACTTTACGTTTGTAAGATTCAGCCATTTGTAAAGCCACATTGATAATTGAAAGAAAGTTTTCAGACTCTTGTATGTAGCTGTTTATCAAGCAGTGACAGATAAGTTAATAGATATTTTATCGAATGTCATCATTTGCTGATTCGAGCTGTGCTAAATGCTTTGGTACACAAAAGAAGTATAAGACATTTTCTCAATTGGAAAAGATGTTATCATCTAATTAGGGGTATTAGATTTTCTCAGAATGACTAGTAATTAAGGATAGTTATAAATTACTGGAGGGGGAAAATATAATTGTATACCTGAAGTTACAGTTGTATACTATATTTCAAAAACCTGTAGTTTAGGTTGTTCAGTGTATGCTTGCATAATCCAGGAAAGCTTCAACAAAAGGAGGTAAAATTTCAGAAGAGTGAATAAATAGAGAAAACCAGGGTTAATGTTCTTGGAAGAAGAGGCAGCATAAATTGTAAAGACCCACATGGATATGGGAATGAGCATTGAATATATGGCACACTAGTTCCCAAACTTGACTGCATATCGGAACGGCCTGGGGAGTCTTAAAATATTTTCTTGTCTGTGTTTCACCCCCAGAGGTTCTGATTTATGTTATGGGGTTTGGCCTGAGCATCAGAATTTTTTTAGAGTTCTGCTTGTTACCCAGGTAATTGTAATTTGCAGTAAAGTTTGTAAATTACTATTACAGGATTTTTTCTGATTTGAATGGTGGTAAGATGGTCCAAACAGGATACAGAAATTCAGTTAGAGGGTTTAGCAGTTATAATCCAGTGTGATAAGTACTTGAGTAGGTATAAACACAGGATATGGTATAAACCAGATTATAGGCTCCATGAGGGAAAGTACTGTGTCTTGTTCAGTCCTGTGTCCCGAGCACAATGCCTGGTACATAATAGGCATTCAGTGCTGAATTTTTTTTAAAAAGGTGGGGGTGGGGGATGGTAAGTAGCTTCTTAAATTATTTATCAAATATTTCCTGTACAGTTTTCATGTGTTAGGTATTGTGGATTTAAAGAACCACAGTTCATGCTCTTGGAGACAGCATAAGCAGCAAATCCTGTGGGGCTATGGGAGGGAGGAGATCATTGGGGCTAAACTTCTGTGTTTAGGGCCGTTCATAATAACCAGGTGAAGGAGATGAGGGATGGTAATGTTAATGAGATTCAGCAATAATTTATATTGTACATCCTTATCTCTCTTGCGTGGGGATAATTCTGAATTTTGGGTTCTGGTAGCCCTTAGAAGTTATTTTTTTGGCTTTATTGATTTGCATTGAGTTTTTCCATTATGAAGACATTTTTATTTTTATTTTTTAATGTTTTATTTATTTCTGAGAGAGAGAGAGAGAGCGTGAGCAGGGGAGGGTCAGAGAGAGAGGGAGGCACAGAATCTGAAACAGGCTCCAGTCTCCCAGCCAACCATCAGCACAGAGTCCAACGCAGGGCTCGAACCCAGAAACCGTGAGATCATGACCTGAGCTGAAGTCAGACGCTCAACTGACTGAGCCACCCAGGCGCCCCAATGAAGACATTTTTAGAAATTAGAAACTTAAGCAATTGAATTTTCTAAAAGTTGAGAGAGCTCATTTACCCAGTGAAATGGGTTTGAACAGTTGTTACTACAAGAACTAATGTAGTTTAAAGTTGTGTATACTGAATGAATATTGCTTCATGTGGTGAAAGCAGTTAAGGGCTATTCAATTAGAGAACTAATTGATTTTGAGCTCATTAGTCAAAATTATTAAAAGGGATTTTAGCTGGAGTAGATTCTTCTCCTTATAGAGGAAGACTTAGGAAACTAGTAACAAGTTACAGGACATTTCATTTTTGAGTAACCGATTTGTCTCATGGACACTGGTAGTGAATGGACAATTACCATGTAATTATTGTGTAGTTGCTTATGAGAAATACATTAATCATCATAGTTAAGTTTCTAGTAGAAACAGTTCCCTTCATAAATTGCCAGCACAATTAATGCACATAATAGCATCAGTAAATCGAATGCATCTGAGATTGGTGTGGGAGGATTTACTTTTAGGACTGATCTACTTAAATTGCTTTTGTTAGTTTTACAAGGAGAAGGACAGAATTTCATCCCTTTTAAAAAGTAAGTGCATATCAGGAACTTAGTGGGCTACTGTTCTTAATCCTGTAGTACTGTCCTTGAAATTTATTTCTGAGAAAAAATTAGGTCTGAATATGTTTTACGAGGTGTTTGTTAGGGATGTTGTATAATCTTCATCTAGAAATTTTAAAGAATGATATAGATGCCTATTTGTAAAGGATATTAATTTAGAATTACGTTGTCTAAAAGTTTGAGGATAGATTGAGTCCTCGAATGAAAAATTCATGGTTTATACACCTGGATACATTTGGTCCTCGTCTATCAATGCAGATATAGAGGAAAAAGAAGTATAAATAATGTGTAAATGAATCAATAAGTAGTATATTCAGTCATCATACTTATAGTTTACCTATCTTACCTATAATTTTCTGTACTAGATAAATGATCTTAAAGATATATTTTAACTTACAAGTACCTGTATTATGTTTGGGGACTGGCTCACTCAAGGGGATTGACCTGTTGTTTCCAAATTATTTTTTAAACACTAAATTTCAGCTGTGGATCAGTATCTTGGGTTCTTTTGAAAGCCAGATCACCTAGAATTAATTGGAAGAAGTTACTAGTTAGAATATTCTGTGTTGTGGTATGAATTAATCCTGAAATCTCAGGTTTAGATTTTTACTCACTTGGAAGTCTCTCCAGTTTGGCTTCTTGTCCTTTTGACATGACTCCAATAATTTTAGGCAACAATCTTCCTTTCCCATATAGCAAGATGTTTCAGGCTCATCCTGCACCTTTGCTATCCCAGACTTCCAATCAGTTATTCATTTAAGAAGAGCCTGGTTCCTTTTAAGGAAGGATGGTCTTTCAAGAACAGTGTGGTGCTAGGGCTAACTGCCTTGTCTTCCAAGTTAGCCAGTGTTTCTAATGGTTTTCTTTTTTTCTTTAAAAATATGTCAGTAGTACTTTTTAAAAACATTTAGAATATATCATACAAACAAAAGATTACAGATACTCAGTTTAAAGAATAATAGTAAAACAAGTACCCATTGCCAAGCTTAAGAAATACAATGAAACCAGGGTGCCTAGGTGGCTCAGTCAGTTAAGCATCTGACTTTGGCTCAGGTCATGAGCTCACAGTTCATGAATTCGATCCCCACGTCAGACTCTGTGCTGGCAGCTTGGAGCCTGGAGAGTCTCTCTCTGTGCTGTCAGCTCAGATTCTGTGTCTCCCTCTCTCTCTGCCCTTCCGCCGCTCATGCTCTGTCCCCCCTTCTCAAAAATAAACAAACATTAGGGGCGCCTGGGTGGCTTAGTCGGTTAAGTGTCTGACTTTTGCTTAGGTCATGATCTCGAGGTTCGTGGGTTCGAGCCCCGCGTCAGGCTCTGTGCTGACTGCCAGATCAGAGCCTGGAGCCTGTTTCAGAGTCTGTCACTCCCTCTCTCTCTGACCCTCCCCTGCTCACACTGTCTCTCTCTCTGCTAGAAATAAATAAAACATTAAAAAAATAAACAAACATTAAAAAATTTAAAAAAAAAGAAATACAATGAAACCATCTGTGACCTCCTCCAATTACAACCCCTCCCACCCCCCTAGAGGTAACCATATTCCTGAATTTGCTGTTAATCCTTTCTTTATAGTTTTTTTTAACACATATTTTTTCATTAAACTTTATGTATTCCCCTGCAATTTGCTTTTCTGATTGAACATTTTTTTAGAATTATCCATGACAATTTATATTGCTATAGTTTGTTTCTTTTCATTACAAATTCACTAAAATTAGTAAACATTTTATTTTTATGAATAATCTCAATGCACTCATTCTGTTGTTAAACAGTATTTGAGATTATTCTAATTTTTTACTCTTGGAAACAAACAATTACAAATATATGATATATGTAAGAATTCAAGGTATATACCTAGGAGTGGAATTGATGGTACTGCATATTGTTTGCCAAAGTTATTCTCTTACCACTCTGACTAGCAGTGGATGAGAGTTCCCATTACTATCACTTGCAGTGCCCTATAGGGGCAGGTTTTTAAATCTTGCCAGTCTGATATGTGTAAAACAGTTTCTCATGTTTTTATTGCCATTTTTGTGATTTCTAATAAAGTTGAACTTGTTTTCCTGTGTTTATCTATTTGTGTTATTTCTTTTGTGAATTGCTTACTTAGGTCCTCTGCACATTTTTCTCTTGGTCTTGTGGGGGGTTTTGTTGTTGTTTTTAATCAGAACAGTTTTTCATACATTCTGCATACTAATCTTTTTGTTGTTGTTGTTATATGCATCATAAAATATCTTATCTCAGTTTGTGGCTTTTTTCCCACCATCTTTGGATATCCTTGAAAGAAAGTGTTAATCATTTTAATGTATTTCAACTTACCAGGTTTTTCCTTTATGGTTTGTGCCTTTTATATCATGTTTAAGAAATCCTTCTGCCTGGCAAGATTGCGTATATATTCTTATGTCTTTTTTCTTTCCAAAGGTTTGAAAGTTAATTTTCCATTTTGAAGTCTGTGATTTATGTGAAATTAGATTTTTGTATATGATGTAAGTTAATTATAAATATTATGGGTGCAGATGATTATTAAACAGTTATTATGCTCTTATTCCATTTAAAATGAAGCTTGCAAGCAGAAGCCTCAGGCAACAGATAAAACCATCAGTGACTATAAAGCTACACCTTAATCAGAACGGAGATCACAACACCAAAGTTCTGCAGACAGACCCAGCCACTCTGCTCCATTTGGTTCAGCAATTGGAACAAGCATTGGAGGAGATGAAAACAAACCACTGTAGGCGAGTTGTGCGCAATATCAAGTAGTTCCAGTTTTAAGGACCCATTCCCTTTGAATTACTTGTGTATTGATAATATGCGACAGTTACTTTTTTAATTTTTTATTAATTAAAGTGATAAATACATATAGTTCCCATGAAATTTCTTTTTCTAGGCCAAGATACTGAGATCATGATGAAAAGCTAAAGGGTTGTCTGGGTATCTCAGTCGGTTGTGTGTGACTTGATCTGGGCTCAGGTCATGGTCTCACGGTTCATGGGATCAAGCCCTGCATTGGGCTCTGCGCTATTAGTGCAGGGATTCTGTCTCCCTCTCTCTCTGGCCTTCCCCTGCTCATACTGTGTCTCTCAAAATAAATAAATAAATAAACTTAAAAAAAAAAAGGCACTAAAGTAAAGTTCCTTTCCTGGTGCTAAATGTGGTCCATTTCTTAACAAATTAAGATGTATTTTATATTTTAAATGTGTACATACAGTTGAATCAACTGGAAGTGAATCTGTCCTATTCATATCTTTGGTGTATATAAATGTCTTTTTTTGTACTTCTTTTGATTGCTTAACTTTATTATTTTCTTCTTTATTGCCAAAATTTGAAAATAAAATTCACAATGTAATACTGTTGCTATTCAGAATATTTTTAGACAGTTCATTGTTTTTGACCTTTAAAAGCACCCACAATGTTAATAGCTACAGAATAGTTGGAAGTAAATATGAATTTTTTTAAATGCTACATTGTTTAGGTGGTTCATCATTTTTCTGGCTAGTGAAGGTAGTTAAGTACTTACTATGTTGCTTAAGTTTGAGTTGTCATGGCTAATTTGCTTAAATAATACTCAAATTTGTGTGATCATCTATTACATTTTATCAAGGACCACTTTTTTCCCCTAGTACACAAAGCATCTAAGAGACATGGTATCATTTACATAGTGGATATAGGAGTAGTATAATCACCTCTTAATTAAATATAAACTAGTCACTTTGTCATTTTATTTGGGTAAAGTATATAAAGAGGGCAGAAGGAGTCCATGTTTACTACATGTATATCCCTTCTTTACAAACTTGTTTGTTTTTTAGTAAGTAACTGTAAACTATCAGCTGGAAAAACTCAGATGCTGATGTGTCAGGTCAGCCTGGAGTACAGGGACACAGGGAAACTTAAGGAGTAGCAGATTTGAGAAAAACACAGAAGGGTGGAAATGGAGGTTCAGTCTTAGATACATATCTTATTCTGAGAGCCCCATCCCCATGGAGTAATCCAGGAATGCTTTTAAAACTGTCAGACTCCAAGCTGCACTCTTGGTTCTGTCAATGCCTTACATCCTAAGAATTAGAGATTTTTGGGTCAGAGTGACATTTTGTTTCTTCTTTCTCTTAAGAAAGCGTCTGGGGGTGCCTGGGTGACTCAGTTGTTAAGCATCTGACTTCATTTCAAGTCATGATCTCATGGTTCAGGAGTTCAATTCCCACATCGGGTGGGCTTGAGTCCCTCCCCCCCGGCTTTGGGTGAGCCCCGCTTCTCTCTCTCTCTCCTAAAAAAAGAGTCTCTTAAAAAAAGAGGGTCCACTTGCACCCTCCCTCTCTTTCTCTTAAAAAAAAGGAAAAAAAAGAGAATCTAGTAGGGAACAGAGGCCAGTCGAAGAAAAGCACAATTTTAATTGCCACCATTTAATTGCCATAGGTATATGTTCTGCAGTTGCAAAACAACTAATACTAGATATTAATAAACTATAATCAAATAACTTTTAATAATCATGATAACTTGATTAATGAAGCTTTTATGTTAACAACCTCACAAACAAAAAAACTTTGTATATTACATGAACTGATAGTAGCATGTCATCAGGTTTAAAAGCAACATGCCTGCCAAGATTCCATGAGGCTTCTTATTTATCCACATTTGGTAGAAAATACGCAGGGCTGACCCCAGCCAAGACTGAAATAATAGCACTGTGCCCCTTTAAGGCCACCTTTCTTCTATATCCACTGATCTAACCCCAATCAAAACAAGAAAAGAGATATTAGCCTTTTATTATTTGTGTCAAACTTCCCTGGCCTCCTTTCTCTGTACTTTATTCTTTCTGATGTTCTGCCTCCTTCACTTTTTTGGGCCAGAATGAGTTGGGAGCAGTCTCCTAACTTCTTGAACCCGAGGCTCACTATAAGTACAGGGCATTGAATGAGCCTGTTTCTTGTTTAAACATCCCACATCCTTAGGAACTCCTCTGCCTTGTTTGTTTTATGGCATATTGGATTTTCACTTTTTCTGTAGCTAAAAAATATGGACATACTTTCTGCTGATGTAGTCACCCTTCTGTATGAGCAGTTATCATGACTCTGGGTAATATGCCTATCTTTATCTAAATTTTATTAAGTCATTTTGGATTATAAGCACATTGGTTTTTCAGCATTGGCTGATGCATGTTTAGAGTTAAATGCCGTATTGTGCATGTCTCAAAACCAAATAATAACATCTCTGAGAACAGAGCTGTGAGTAGGGAATAACCAATTCATATATATCACAAAGTCTTATATACTTACTTTACCCATTGGAAGTCTTTTTTGTGTTTCAAAAATTTCAGTGAGCTTTTTTTGTTACTGATGTTTCCAAGTTTAGGCAAATTTAAATCAGCAAATCGAAAAGGTGGTGGGGATACCATAAAAAAGAAAATATACCTTTGAAAACTGAAAAATGAGAATCTGATGCTAAGGAAAATGAAAAATCATTAAGATTGTGTGAAGGATGCGTGTGTGGGAGTCCTTAAAATTTATAACAATGTGAAGCCTTTTAGGGTACAATCTTTGGAGAAAGTTAAGAGGTTAGTCTTTGGAACTGGACAAAAAGGGTGTGAATTTAGCATAGTAAGAGGCTTCAGAAGATACTCATGTAGACTGAGGATCTCATTGTTTTATAGCCTTGAGTTATGTTCTGTATACTTCCTAATGGTTTCTGGGTGGTAAGATTATAGCTGTTTCTTTTCCTTCTTATTTTCTGTAAGTTTAAATGACTCATATTTTAAAAAACCCAAAAAACAAAAAACCTTCGGAGCAGCACCTGGGCGGCTCAGTCAGTTAAACATCCAACTTCGGCTCAAGTCATGATCTCATGGCCAGTGGATTCGAGCCGCACAGTAGGCTCTGTGCTGACAGCTCAGAGCCTGGAGCCTGCTTCAGATTTTGTGTGTCTCTCTTTCTCTCTGCCCCTCCCCTGCTCATGCTTTGTCTGTCTCTCTCTCTCTCTCTCTCAATAAACAGTTTTTAACTTTTTTTTTTGATGTTTTTAAATTTATTTCTGAGAGAGAGAGAGACAGCGTGAGCAGGGGAGGGTCAGAGAGAGAGGGAGATACAGACTCCGAAGCAGGCTCCAGGCTCTGAGCTAGCTGTCAGCACAGAGCCTGACGTGGGGCTCGAACCCACAAACTGTGAGATCATGACCTGAGCAGAAGTTGGGTGCTTAACCCACTGAGCCATCCAGGCACCCCAATAAAACATTTTTAAAAATTTTTTATAAAGGAAAAAAACCTTTGGAGTCTGAAGAGAGGACTAAAGATCATAGACTCTAAATACGATTTTAGTAATATTTTCCTTCCAAATTTTAATTCTTGGAATGATACACACATAGCTCTCCAGAAAACTCAGCTGTTCAAAACTACTTAGCCCCCAAAGGACTCAGACTGAGAGTTGTACATATAGGGTTAGTCCAGAGTCCCTTTTTTCTGTCTTCTTTTCCTTCATACTAGTGAAAAAAAAAATGAGACTCTCAAGACATTATTTAAGCCAGTTCTCTTTTTCTACATAATATTACATCTAAATGGAGAATTATCTGTGTTGTTTTCAATCTCAAAAGGAAAACAAATAATACTTTGTAGTGTTTCATAGCCTTATATTCAAGAAGTTCTGTCAGCTGCTGTATTAAAGTCTTCCTGCTGTACTATACTCACTCTTCTCTGAACTTATTTTAGAGACAGTGCAAGCAGGGGAGGGGCAGAGAGAGAGAGAGAGAGAGAGAATCTGAAGCTGACTCCAGGCTTTGAGCTGTTAGCACAGAGCCCAACGTGGGGCTCGAACCCATGAACCCTGAGATCATGACCCGAGCTGAAGTTGGACGCTTAACCCACTGAGCCACCCAGGTGCCCCTATTTTTAAATATATATATTTAATTAAGTCCCTCCATAACTTATCCTTCCACAGTTTACATAATCATAGGTTACTGTCCTCTCTTTACCTTTCTTTCACAAATGATAGAGAATATTATGGTGAAAAGAGTATCATACTACATTGCTTCTAATTTAACTATATTTACTTTTAAAACCACCAAGTCCGACCCTTGATCTTAGCTCCGCCCCTGATCTCAGGGTTGTGAGTTCAAACTCCACATTGGGCTCTACACTGGGTGTGAAGCCTACTTAAAAAAATTAAAAATAAATAAGACAAAACAACCATGGCTGTTGTATTCAAACTTAAATACTTCCCTTAAAAACAAAACAAACAAGCCCAGCTCCACCATTACTCTGGACAGTTCAGTGAGTTTTACAAACTTGGAAAGTGATGTTTTAATTATAAAAGCAGAATAAACCCATTATTTCTCTACTTTGCAAAAACTATGTACTATGGATGTAAGTTATGGCAATAAAATACCTTTTTGATTTGATCACTGAATAGCAGTGGCTCTTTTTCCCATGTTTATATCACTCTACAGGATTTGCCCAGGAACTCAAATGACTTAATTATGCTTGATAGGCACAAATCTCTAAGGTTCTACTTACCATATGGGGAAATACAGGAAAAGCAATTTTATCTTCTTAATAGGCTTAAAGTAAAAGGGAGCATCAGGAATACAAATAGCTACATCAGAGTCCTCTGAAATTTGTCTACTACTGAATCATTGGTGTTTTAAGCCGAAGCCACTTTTTGTAAGATGAATTTTTTTATAATTACAGTGTAAGTAATGTTTGTTATCATAGGAAATAGTACTAATTATGTAGCTGTCAGAGTGGGAGACCATGCTCTTTTCTTGTTCTTGAGACTAAATTGACCCTTTTTATTTGGAAAGACCACAACTTTCATTTTCCTCTATTACAGTGATCACATTTTCTCTCACAG